AACATCTACTTCTGCTTCATTGATTATGCAAAAGCCTTTGACTGTATGGACCACAACAAACTATGCAAGTTCTTAAAGAATTGGGAGTGCCTGGCCACCTTGTCTATCTCCTGAGAAACCTATACGTGGGACAGGAAGCAGTAGTTAGAACTGGATATGGAACAACTGATTGGTTCAAAATTGGGAAAGTAGTGCAACAAAGCTGTATATTGTCTCCCTGCTTATTTAACTTATATGCAGAATACATCATGCGAAAGGCTGGACTGGATGAATCCCAAACCGGAATTAAGATTGCCGGAAGAAATATCAACAACCTCCAATATGCAGATGATACCACTCTGATGGCAGAAAGTGAGGAGGAATTAAGGAACCTGTTAATGAGTGTGAAAGAGGAGAGTGCAAAAAACGGTCTGAAGCTCAATGTCAAAAAAACTAAGATCATGGCCACTGGCCCCATCACCTCCTGGCAAATATGAAGATATGGAGGCCGTGACAGATTTTACTTTCTTGGGCTCCATGATCACTGCAGATGGTGACAGCAGCCATGAAATTAAAAGACGCCTGCTTCTTGGGAGGAAAGTGATGACAACATCTTAAAAAGCAGAAACATCTCCTTGCCGACAAAGGTCCGCATAGTCAAAGCTGTGTTTTTTCCTGTAGTGATGTATGGAAGTGAGAGCTGTCCCATAAAGAAGGCTGACCGTCAAAGAATTGATGTTTTTGAATTGTGGTGCTGGAGAAGGCTCTTGAGAGTCCCCTGGACTGCAAGGAGATCAAACCTATCCATTCTAAAGGAAACCAACCCTGAGTGCTCACTGGAAGGACAGATCCTGAAGCTGAGGTTCCAGTACTTTGGCCATCTCATGAGAAGAGAAGAATCCCTGGAAAAGACCCTGATGTTGGGAAAGAGTGAAGGCAAGAGGAGAAGGGGACAAGAGATGACGAGATGGTTGGACAGTGTCATTGAAGCTACCAACATGAATTTGAAAGGAGGACCTGGCGTGCTCTGGTCCATGGGGTCACGAAGAGTCGGACCTGACTTAACGACTAAACAACAACAAGAAATAGTCACTAGGTTGTCCCCATTTAATACCAAGATTCCCTAGTTATATTTGATGCAGAGCCAGTTCTGAAATCTATGCATTTTTTCATGGATTTTTTGGCTCTTTTCATAGATCGACTTAACGACTAAACAACAACAAGAAATAGTCACTAGGTTGTCCCCATTTAATACCAAGATTCCCTAGTTATATTTGATGCAGAGCCAGTTCTGAAATCTATGCATTTTTTCATGGATTTTTTGGCTCTTTTCATAGATCACATGTGGTGACTGTGTGAAAAAGTTTTGTTTATGCTAAATTTCAGTTGCATTAAAAGTAGCCACACACTGTCTGATCCTGTGTGCCAATGTTCCATGTGAAACAACCAAGGATGAATTAAATGGGATGCGGTAGGAACCATAGCAACACCCTCACTACAAGCCGATTGGACTGGAATTTTGAGAGGTTGTTTTGCTATGATCACTGCACTCATTGAGTGACAATAAACTCTTAGACAAAAATTAAAATCTGTCTTGTTCACATGAGCCCTCCAGCTTTTGCATCAGAAGTACAGTAATTGTTTTGAAACTGCAGAAAGTGAATTGTTCAGGTGTTTGAAGTTATACAACAGTGGAGATCCTCCTATCTTACTGTGCAGACCCACCTCTTCTAAGAAGCTGTATCTTTGGAGAAACAAATTAGGTTAGCCCCCAAACCACAGTCTCAACCCATGGTTTGTTGTTGAATTATGAACTATGGCCCATTTGATCATCACTTGTCATAATGTCCAAACCTACAAGTGTGAGTTGTCCCTGACTTGATTCTCTAGCTGCCCCAATCAACAAAACAGAAAAAGGGAGAAAGAGAAACAACCAAAAATCAGAAGCAACTTGTGCCTTAAGGAACAAACAATGGTTAGCGTGAACCGTGGCTTCTGGTGATGTACAGGAAAGCCAAATCTCCTTCTGTTGGAGATAAAGTCGTAGTCCTTTAGTTTACTCAGATTAAAATATATGTCTGTTTTCAGCATTCATTAAGTATTTGAGCATAAAAACACAAGGGGTGCCTGAGCAGAAAACTTCTGTTCTTCTAAGTGGTAACATATTTACAGTATTTAGTCAGTAATAGCACTGGTGTGTGTAAAACTCATAAAACACATATGATTCATATGTGAATTGATTATTGTATATTTATATTGATGTAAGTGAACTTGTGTGTTGAGTTTTTTCACATCATTGCTGGTTGAAATAAACAGTACCTTTTAAAGAGTCAATCTGTGGCTGCCAACTCTGTATAATTAATTGTGATACAGAGGCAAAACCTCTCCGTCAGAATCTTTTCCCAGTGGCTTTAACCCTGTTAAAGTTATTTTACTTAGGAAGATAGCTCCTCAATTATATGTATAAGTAAAATCAGGGGAATGTAAGTTGCAGGAATGACCTGTCTGCTTTTCATAAAACACCAGTACACTGCAGTTCATCAGAGGACAGAGAATGCTTTACACCCAATATCTGATTAAAAACTGTGGAGAGGCTTTACAGTTAAGAGAATGTTCAGCCAGTGCTGTCAGTGCCACTGTTTTGTTTGATAAGTAAGGCTGAACAGTCTCCAGGAGAATCTTTTGCTCCTGGGACCTCTATAGTTGTGGGGTTGGGGGTAGGAGATAAGTTTTTATCAGTAGGCTACATCTTGCTGTAAAGGATCGTTACTCCTAGATGCTCCCTAGAGTGGGAATTCTCTCTTTGGGGCTAGGAAAATGTTTATGCCAAATTACAGGGTGATTGTTTTATTCTATTTTATTCTATTCTATTTTATTTTGGTGGTGGTGGTGGTGTGGGATCAGCTGGGCACAAAAAATAAGCCCTGTGAGGTCTATGAATGGCATATTTGTTCATGCCTGTGGTACAGAAATGTTTTCAAAATCTGGAAGCTGGCAAAAGAAATGAAGAGGTCTTAGAAGTTGTGCCTACAGCATAGTGTCAGCCATAGGAAGAAAAAAAACCCATTACATTTCTGGCCAATCTCCTTGGCCAGTAGCCAAAGTCGCAAGAATGCTGCAGTTCAGAACACTTGTTCATTTTCTCTAATACCATTCATGGTGATGTAAGCAAAATTGCCTACTTTAAAATAACCTTTAGGTAGCTTTATGGTTGCTTGGGAGGAGATATGTGCCTTGGGATAATAGTGTGGGGCATCCCCTTTCAGTTCTCTTGGCTTCCTGAGTATCTGAAATCAAGGCTCATGAGCTGAGCTCACTTTTGGGAAACGGGCAGCGAAATTTATAGGCTAGAAAAGCAAAAATGTGCATTGACACATGACTCTATAAAGAAAAAGAAAATTAAGACTCAGTCTCATTTAACAGTGCCTATCTTCCTTTCTGTTAGTGATTGCTAAACCAACGTAACTGAAGAAGAAAAAGCCAGTCCCCTTTGCCTCAGATTAGAGAGAGGTGCATAACTGTGACACTGTGTTTTAGGCCATCTGATTGCAAAAAGTAACCTGAATCTCCATTATTTTTTTCTTCTTGATCCTATTTCCAGAAAATTTCTCAGTTCCCCCGGATGTTACTGCAACTACGTCTACACCTACGTCCTCCTCACGCCCATCGGCTATCGACCTTCCTCCGTCGGGGATAGTGAAGGGCATGCACAAAGGATCCAACCGGTCCAGCCTTATGGACACAGCTGATGGTATATCTGCAGATCCACACTATGGGAAAGAGCCGAGTAGAACATCAATAACACGGCTTATTGATAAAGCACCTCAGCGTGCTGTGTTGCAAAACTCATGCCATCCCTTTGTAACTGTATGCCATGTCAGCAATTAGCAGGCAGCTGTCTTTTACACCTTTTTCCATTTGCTTCCTCATGAAATTGTGACCAGTGGAGGTCTGAGGCTCAGGTTGGGCAGTGGTATTTTGGAAAGTGGCAGCTGGTTATGCTCCGTCTGGTGGTACGAAGCCAGGTACCTAATTAATGGCTGCTGTACAGAGATAATACAGTATATTTGAGAAGATAAACCTCTGCTGCACAGGTGGGAGGTGTGTTGCCATCCAGATTTCATAGGACTGCAGCTTTCGGCATCCTCTGCCATTGGCTAATGTTGATATAAGTTGTGAGCCAACAGTATTTTGGGCAGGGACACCCTGTGGTGGAAGAAGTCCCAGTGACAAGGAACTGTACAATTAGATGAGCTAGACAAAGAAAATTCAGAGAACAAAACCCAGGCTGAGAAACAAGTGTCCTGTCGGAAAGTAATGTCAAGTAAGTGAAGAGGATCCAGAGCCACAATCCAGGATCTATCCAGTCCAGTTGTAAAAAAGCAGGAGGTAGGGAGATTTCTAAGGGACATATTCAGGACTTTCCAGGATCATGCATGATGGGAGAATCCCTGCAAAGTTAAAGCTATAAGAAGAAGTCCCAGTGACAAGGAACTGTACAATTAGATGAGCTAGACAAAGAAAATTCAGAGAACAAAACCCAGGCTGAGAAACAAGAGTCCTGTCGGAAAGTAATGTCAAGTAAGTGAAGAGGATCCAGAGCCACAATCCAGGATCTATCCAGTCCAGTTGTAAAAAAGAAGGAGGTAGGGAGATTTCTAAGGGACATTCAGGACTTTCCAGGATCATGCATGATGGGAGAATCCCTGCAAAGTTCAAGCTATAAGAGACATAACAGACAGGTTCTGGAGCTCAGAAGAGAGTTTGATTCTGAAAAACGTGTCGTCCCAAATCTGCAGTGCCTATTGTTGAGCTGCTGGAGCCCTACCTGGTATTCAGCTGCAGTTTTTTAAATACCTTGTTCCCTGGGAGGAAAAACTTTTTCTTTAAGGAGACCTGCAAATAGGATAGAAGTCTTTACTCACAAGGTGTCTTCCCTTGAAGCCCTTCTGTTCAACAGGGCATGTTGTTTGGGGATGGTACGCTGAGCTTGAGTCTTCAGCCTGTACTCTTCTTGTGGGCAGAGAGGCAGCTAAGACCCCTTCTCTGATGCTGGAGCGGGGTTACCTCTAGCTGGGGCTTCAGGCTCATGTTTACCCTCATCATCTTCAGGTGGGGGGGGGCTCCAATCCAAATTTACCCCTCTAGGGTGAAGGAATGTATACTGTTTATGAAAACAGAAGTGCCTTTACAGTGAGAGCAAGAGGGATGGTGGCTTAGAGAAAGCAACAGGCAAAGCCAGTATAGTTGTAGTAGGGGTTTTTTTTTAAAGCAAGCAATTTCCCACCACATTGGGCTGATATCTGTGAGGAGAATGTGCTCAGCAGTTAAGACCTTTTTAAATATTCTGTGGTGGACCTAAAATGATCACAGAAGGAGGAGAGCAACTATGTGAAAAGGAGAGCTTCTTCTTTGTCTGGAACCTCTCTGCATGTAAAAATGAGTCTCCTCCTGGGACAGCTGGGCTCTGCATGAAGAGAGCGCAACTATGTGAAAAGGAGAGCTTCTTCTTCTTTTACTCCGCACGTAAAAGCGAGTCTCCTGAGACAGCTGGGCTCTGCATGAAGAGAGTAATGGTGGAAGAGGTGGGTTTACTTCAGCTACATGACATCTACATTCTTGCTTGTGTACTTCCACCAACATTTCAGAGCAGAATAACAGATTACTCTTCGGCCTTCAGCAATGCTGGGGATAAGAGTGCCAGATCCCCATGTAGTTCAGAATCTGTGTATAACTTTTGTGCTCCCCAAAAACTTGGCTACAAAGCATAAACAGTTGATTTATGCACATACATATACTGTATAGACACACACATAAGAGTATACAAACAGTTCTCTCTATTGGGGTTTTCTTCTATAGTGTTGACTATCCTTTTCATACAGTACCATGCTTAATGAGCCTTCAAGGTCCTTATAACCCCCCTGATCTAGAGACTGAATTAAATATGTTGTGTTTGGGGCAAGCAGACCACTTTGACGCCTTCTGTGTTGCACTCATGGGGTTCTGTGTGGCCAGGGGCACAACATTTACTTAATAGTTATTTATTGA